TGATCAGTATGTTCATTGAAGCAGAATCTTTTTGACATGTCCTTGGTACAGGTATATGGGATTTCTAAAGAATGATAAGTATTCTCACCCTGGCTCATTCAGTTGTCAACAGGGATCAGTGAAGCATTACTATAGTGTTGAAATTTACATTCTGTAATGGCATGGAAGAATTAGCCACATAAAAGGGAAAGAATGACAAAATATTCTCTTATCCTAACACTTTTGCACAGAATTGTATATTGTCAAAAATTCTTTATTAATCATCTATACCATAGATCATTATTGGAGTGTATTGTTTTAAATCAATTATTGATAATAGTCATATTCAAAATATTTAATTTTAAGTAATTAATTCACAATATGTATTGTACTAACCTCTTCTAGGATGCTTGCATATTTTTCAGGTCATTTATTAATACCAGTATTTTACAAGTCATTTTTAAAGTACATGTACACTGTTTTAAATAATTCATTAATACCATTAACTATATTTTCACTCATTCTAGGGTGCATGTACATTGTTTCATATCAATTATGGATACATGCTATATTTGGAGTCAAGAACTACTGATGAAAGATGGTTTTCACCGAGATCAGTTTAGTAGTAGACCAAAAACTAAAAAACATTGACTAATTCTTTTAAGAATATGAAGACAATAAATGAGAAATATTCTAAAATCAAATATAGTTTTAAAAACGTTGTTCTGCTTCTTTTCTCTACAGTTTCTGTAGTGAAATCGAGTTCTTCTTCTATGCAAGTAGAGGCATGTTACATGACATACTAAGTAGCTTAAACAACACTGAAGTTGCACAAAAAATGTCCTCCTACAGTCAACACACAATTATAGAATATTTCACGAATGTTAAGAATTTTTTTTATACAATAAATAATTAATTTCTCTAGCTTGACCGACTCAACATGTAAAACCAGGTATCACTAAGAAGCAACAAAGAGTTTGGCCTAATATATGTGTTTAAAAGTTTATGAAAATAAAAAAAAAGCCCTTGTGTGGCTTTGCATGAAATTTCAAACAAACCAATATCTGATACTAATGAGAAATAGGTCAAGAATAAATTGATCCACAGCTCATAGTGAAAAATCATTGCAATTAAATCACTTTTGTAAAAACCATTCATTGATATCAAATATTTTATACAATAATAATTATGAACTTCAGCACAGTTTTATATCTAATTTTTTATATATTTGAAAACTAAACACATAAGTTATACATAAATTTATATTGATATATTATATTATTTGGAGCACTAACAAAAGAGATATTTTCTATTACAACATGCAGTCAACACTTACCATACAAAAATAAAACAAATAAATGAAGAAAAATATAAAAAACATTCAGGTAGATCAATAAATGAAACAAATGCTTACTTTTACTTTGAATCTTTTCTAAAATGTTTTCCTGCAAACTTGTGTTGAGTCTTTTGTGTATCTAGAGAGCACACCAACTTATATGTATATTCCAACTAATAAATCTACATTTAAATTGCATACTCTTGTTTTCTATTGTTGTTGTTGCTTTATATTCTTTACCATCTTTATTACTAGAACTGGCAATATTAAACTAATTGAAATATTAACAGCAAAACAAACACATTACCCTTCTTGTTTAATTTGTAAAGAGAAGGTTTTCCTAGGCGGTTTAGGAAGCAGTGACAAACAGTTCCCTAGAGAGTCTTCTTCTGAACCAAAACCATTGTATGATGGAAACTGGTTTTTAAGTGGTGAGATGTTTTCCTCCTGAGGCATATCAAGAGGCTTCATTTCTGATAGTCATTAAAATATTATAAGAAATAAATATCTAATTCTTTTTTACTTTTAACATGTTATTACTACAAACCAAATTATGCAAAAATGGCTGATAACATTGCATAAAATCCCCCGTTATATTTTTCATATGAAACCACTCAATGTAAGTTTGATATAAAACAACAGAAACAGTAAATAAAGGACCATACAGCTATTAGTCTATACTATAATCTTAATACCTAAAAATAACTCATAAATGTACTTTAACAGGCTTAATTAAAATAACTGTTTCATTTTTACATTGTGTGAAGCTAAAAAGTTTGATTTTTTTTCAGAATTAATCAAAAAATAAATCGTGTGCTGTAGGTTGTACAGGTTCATAAAAACTTAAGGAATGTGAAAGTTGACAAAAATCATTATTAGAATGTGTTTGTCTTAATCCTTTTTATTTAAAAGTGTTCGAAATGGAATAAATAAAAACACATCAACAGAAGTTTTTCGTATTTTTTAATTGATCATGTGCATTAAAACTTTCATAAACAAGTACATGTGCATACCCTGCCATTTTGAAACAATCACCATGCATCCCAGTCAGTTTTTGTGTGTTTGGCAAAGGTTTATTTATACAAAAGATTATTCTCATCACCGATAGATTGAAAATTCTCTAGAGTGTTCTAATAAACCCAAATAAAGATATAAGACTTATATAAAAACAACCTGATAAGGAAATAACTTACCCAGGCCATACTTTACATGATAATATTGTTTTGTAAATTCATCGCAATCATACAGGAGAAAATTTCTTCCCCAAACATTGATAGTGACCCCTATTCTAAGATCACTATCATGATAATACTCCATGTTACTGGATCCAACCTGGAAAATATTAACAAATTTAAACTGAAAATATTTCATGATTATGTACCAGATCAACAAAACAGCTGTAAGTTAACATTTTTTATGACTTTAACAAATCACCTATTTAATAATTCACTAACATCAGAGCCTAACATTATTTTTCCTCAAGAAAATATAGCAAAACTTCTGTAACATAGAGAGGAAATCTTCACCCAAAATTAATAAATATATTCAAATTGATGTTAGGGAAGTCCTGTAAGATAACTAACCGAGGAATGCTACATAAAAAAAACAATTATCAGATGCAAAACACATGAATCTTTTTACTAACACATCAAACAAAATTAAATTTAAAACACAACAGGTTAAAACAATTTCATTAAAACTAATGGTTAAAAACAAGCCATACGTATCGACATAATTTAGTGTCTCCCTCAGTGACTCAAATTAGATGAACATAGGTATCAGTACAGTTGTACCACCAGAATATCAAGTGTTACTACCATAAACGTATTTAATCATTCACAATGATTCACAAAAACACCTTTTTTAGATGTAAAATATGAGTCAAAATTAAAACTAAATACAAATAAGAAGCCAACAAACTAATATACTGATGCAAAATAAACACCAACTAAAAGCATTTTAATTAACTAATAGATACTTCAAATTTTCATTCTTCATAAAACAGTGTGCTACCTTAAATCTAAACTGGGACACTTATCTTATTTCTTTCTAGAACAACTTCTACAAAATTAGAAGATTAAAACATAAAATTACTAGCATACATTAATCTACAAATATTTAAAATTAATTCCAAGTTACACTAAAATGAAGCTACAAATTACTAATATTAGGATTATTTACCCTTTGATTGTCATATATATACCAGCCATTTTTTTTCTGAGTCTCCAAATATGTTAAGTACAATTTTGGCATTATTCTCACCAGGAAGAACACTTTCAAAATGCTGCATAAAAACAGTAAAAAAGTACCTTAAATTATAATATGAGTTGTTTATTTAATTTACATACACATGTATTTACTTCTTAAGTTTGGGAATGTAAAGCAGATACAATTTTTAAAATACTATAAAATTTCCCCATGAATGCATTACTACTTTTTTCAGCTTTTAACTTTTATTGAGTCAAAATACATAGATTCTACTGTTCATGAATGTGTATGACTGAATCTCTAAAGTAATCAATCTTGGGTGCAGCTACAAACACAACCAAGGAACTGCTATAAAATATGTTGCTGCTGTTTTGTTTTTTTTGGTGGAACACTTATTAATGATAATTTTTGTTAAGTAAATCACAGTATTATTTATTGATGTACATCACACTTTATATTAAAAACTTTAAACTTGTTTTTTTATTCATAGAATAGATTTTATAAAAAAAAATAATTACCTTTGGCAGCTTAGAACGTCGCAGAAAACAAGAACATGCATCTCTCCCTGAGTTTGGAGAAATAGATTCAAGGATTTCAATACTATCATCCTCAAGGTAGTAATGAAGAATCATTTTGCGGACATTTTCAGAAGTAGAATTTCTGTCATCCCAAAGACAGTAAAATCGTAGGACATGCCGATTATGATTAAGAAACTGTTTTAAGGTATCTACCTTCTTATATGGTCTATGAGGTTTCATGGTGGCTTTTAACTGAAAATAAAATGACAAAAATAAAATCTTGTACTTTAAAAAAAATAACTTATGTCACTTTATGAGGCTGTAAATCTGAGCATTTCAAATAATGTAAGGAAAAGTACAATACAGAATTTCTTAAAGATTATAGAAATAAAATTGATAGTTATGAGCATAAAACAATGATATAATTGATAGACAGATATCTTAAAAACTTTTTTAATTTTCAAATAATATCCAGAATCACAAAGATATCATGCCATTGATAACCTTAAATCATACAATATTATAATCATACCTTTTTTTGATGTTCTGTATAAGGATCTTCAGGAATGATTTCAGGATCTTGAACATGATGTCCAATTTTCGTAAGAAAGGATCGAGTGAACTTATCACAATCAACTATCCTGAAATTTTTCCCATAAATATTTACTTCTTTTCCAACATTCAGATCATCCAAAGTATAAGACTGATTTCCATTTGGTGAAGACTTTGCAAAATAATGGCGACGAATAAGAGTTCCTGATAAACATACGGATGGTTCATTGTCAGTCACAGTGTGTTTTGCCTTCAGTATACTAGTCTAACTTTATTTACAATATTGTCAGCATAAAAAATTTTATTCAGTGAAATAATGTACATGGATGATGTTTTATTGGAAATGCATAATGTTGAATCTATAGTTGGTATTACATTTTTTACTCATGACATCCTTTATATCTCTATTTTATTTATTACTTTGTTTCCTTAGAACCACTTGTTGATGCTCTTTTCATGAACTTGTTTCATATTCTTTTGTTTTTTTTTTCACAACTAATCTTCAGAAATCAAATTATACATGCATGCATACATTACTCTTGGAAGTCAGGTTATTTATTTTTATGATGAAATTTTTATGAAAGGACTTGTCAATGAATTTTTTTCAAGATTTGGTGTGCCTGTAGGATCAGGTACTGAATTTTGAATCAGACTTGTTTGCAGAAATGTGTCAAATCCTTGGCATTAAAAACAACAGCCTTTCACCTATCTTCTAATGCATTATGGAGAGATACAACCATACACTATGAAATCACTGTGGATGAACATCAGAAAATGTGGGATCAAGAACTTTCTCTGTTACTGATGAATTATCGTACAGCAGTATATGACACTATCTGCAACAAACCATCATCACTGATGCTTGGGAGAGAAATGAAAATGCCATTGGACCATCTGTATTCTCATCCACAAAATAGCCACTCAGCAGAGTTTTACACAGAATATGTAGAGATTAAGTAACACCTTTGATGATATACATGACTTTACTCAAGAACAGCTTAAATCAGCTAGTGATGAACTGAAAAGTCACTACAATGTTAATGCTGATAAGTCTGGATTTCATCAAGATGACATGATATGGCTGTACAATCTCCAGTGCAAGAAAGGTTAAATCCAAAGTTAAGCAGATGCTTGGAGGGGGTCATACGCTGTAATGAAAAGAATTAATGATGAGGTTTACAGAACTTAGAAGGATAGGCAATCCAATCCAAAGGTCATTCATAGTGATTGTCAGCCAACTGAGTAATACCAAAGAACTTTCCAGCAAAAACTCAACCTACTGAAGAGTCCAGAGTTCCTAACGAGACTAAATTCAGAGGATCATCAAGATTAGAACTGACAGTAGATTAACCCAACAACCTACCCAGGAAGAACTTCTCCAGTGACAGGAAAACAGGTGACAACATAGAACAAGACACCATCCCATCTTTATACCATGGGACTCTGAAGGTGAATGGACAATTTAGTATAGCATTTTATTATATATTTTTTTAATAAAATTGTTTAAGAGACTTCACAATCTAGAAAGAGGCTGGACACAAGTTATAAAGACAGTGAAACAATCTGTATTTATAACCAACTATACTCATGGTTTAAAACAAGTGTATCTTTTGGATTTCTTTATTGGAGAGCTAGCAAATCATCAAATTTATCTGTAAATCTCAATCAAGCTAATCATGTTCCAAATTAATACAACGTGGCATTATGTACAAAAAACAATAACGAACACAGGCACCACCCATGTGACTGATAGTCACTCTCATTACAGAATAAGAGATGTTGTATCCTTGAGGCATCACCTGACTTGCCAGTGGAAAAGATCATTGTCTATTTCTATGCAGTATGCTCCACTTTTCAGGAATGTTTCCACAATAATGTGCATGTGACATCCTAGTTGAGTAATGCAGTTCAGTAGATAACTATGGTGAGAAGAACTTAGTGGCTTCCTTAATTGAAATCTTATATTAAGACTACATACACAATTTGTAGAGAATTTTTGAAAACATATATTAACTAAGAGGGTAGAAAACATAATATGCCTGTATTAACACATTGTCTTGTATGTGTCACATGCAAATTTATTGGTACAAGAGCCTATATAATATCTCTAAACCTATCTTCTAAATAAAATACAACTTTTCTTGCATCTTGACCAATGTTATTTATTGCATATTCTTCTCTAAATATTAATAGTTATATATCAGTGAAACTTCACATAGACAGGGTGATCAAATTTGAAAACATATTTAGACAAATCAAAAAATAAAACTTTTCTATATTTAACAACTTAGATGTTCAAGATAATGCTTAGCTGAGTTGGAATTATTTGTGCCGAAACATGAACTACATTAATGAATAGATATGGGAAGGGCTGTTTGTGAACATAAATTTAATTAAACTAAACAACCATTGGAATCAATGAAAATTATGTTTCTATGATAAAGTTTTCTGAAAATTGTAAGCTAAAGATTTTATTTAGATTTAGATTTGCCAGAGCTATTCTCCTCGGAGGGATCTTTATTGGACGGTGATTGTCTATGTTTATTCTGTGCTCCACAAACTCTGTGCAGCCAAGGTCATGATCTCCTTTTGAAAAGACGTCTGCATAATTCACCAGAAGTTCCCTAACCTGAAGAGCCTGTGATGATGACAAATGGACTATGCTCTTCTTATAGAGGTCAGTTAAATGTTCTGGGAGAGGGTGTCCTTTCTTTATGGTTGTATTTATTGCCTTAACATTAACTGGCTCTACCTCCTGGCACACACCCAACAATGCCCCTTCCTTAAGTTTCTGCTCACATTTAGAGAAATTAGCCACTGTTATGTGTACTATTTGGTGACCTGCCACCAATGACCTCCCAATCTTCAAGTCTGCTGACCTGGATGGGTCTTCCACTGCTTCCACAAGCATTGGGCTTCCTTGGGGATGTTCTTTTATCCTACCCCAAGTTATCTTCTCTGACATAGGGGGTATTGTAGTTGACTTAAGTGCTGTGACATGCAAATCAACAGATGCAGCAACACTTACAGAATTTGGCCTTTGTTGTTGCCAAATGTCATTTTATCAAAGTTAACTCCAAACTTCCTCGGTAGTAAGTAGTCCAACCCTCATATGCATGGGTCTTCAATGTCAGCCAAGTATACTTTGTGTCTCTCCTTTATGCCCATGAGCTCAATAGTTAGCCACACTGGTCATTACAACCTTGCATAATGTCCTGTCACACCACAGAGTTTCTGTATGGCTTCTGGTACTCCTTTTTGATCCAGCACCTTGATACTCACAAGGGTTTGCTG